GAACAGAAACGGCCAGTTATGGATTAATCGGTTTTCAATGCATTGTAGGTCAATGGAGCCTCGACCTGCAGATTTTTTGACCTGCAGCCACCGTTCCAATACGGATAATGATGTGCCCTCAAGTCATAACGGTGGCTGCAGGTCAAAAAATAATTTGTTCTGTTTGCTCTGCCTAAGAGTAGGGCCGGCCCTGAAAGGATCCTGAACCCCCAATAAAGCCCAGAGCCTCCTCACTCACCCAAATATGGCCCAGCTCCATTGGATTTGCCTGGTGATCTTGCACTGTTACCTTGCACGAACAAATACTGCTAATTTGAAAAAGCATCTGCTCATTTCAGACAAAAAAAGAAAACAAAATTGAAGCTTTCGGATGTAAAAAGGATTTGTAGCTGCATGTTTGGGTGTGCCACACCAGAGAGAACTGCAGGATAACAATAAAGCCCTGATAACAACTGGCAAGCTACAAAATGTTCCCAATCTCTAAAGCTACAACATTTCCTGCTGATTCCAAGATCTTTATGTTGCAGGCCAGTTTTTTTTTTTTTTTAAAAAAGGTGAATTTAAAGAGGGAATTTGATCTTGGGCACATAATGCAAGAAAGAATGGAAAAGTTGCGGTAAATTAAGCGTGCAGGGGTCAGAGAAGATCTTGCTCACCGGTCGGTTTATTAACTGAAGCCTGTTTGTTGACTCTGCTCTTTTTGCCTCCTGCATAACTCGAGTCTCCAACGTATGCCGCTCCTCACTTACCAGACAAGGAGCAAATACTGCTGATGCCGACAAATGCCTTGTGCTCCAGCTGCTCCGAAAGCATCATGAGGAAGAGGGTCAACAGTAGCATCTCATTTATTTTATGATGCTTGCTTTGCATTCTCTGCCTCTTTCCCCCTCCCTCTTTCTCTTTGAACTGTCTCTTCTCCCCCCCCCCCTTTTACTCCAGGGCTGGTCTATTGTTTGCTGTTGGAGAAGAGTTTGTTAGTTATTTGCTATCAAGTCAGAACCGAGTTACAGTGACCTTTAATAGAGCTTTCAAGGGAAGTGAGGTATTTAAGGACTTGCCCCCTGCTCCCCCCCACCATGAGTTTCCATGGGATTTGAACCCAGGTCTCCAGAGAACCTTAGTCCATCAATCTATCCACTACACCACACTGATGAAAGGAAGAACACACCACAAAGGAAAGGCAGCAGAACTGGAACATGGCCATAAAATCTGAGCACTCTGTCATTGTCTCGATCAATATTTGTTACTTATATCTCCTGGGCAGCAAAGAGCATATGGTCCTCATCTGATTTTGAAAGCCAACAGGGTCAATTCTTGTTAGGTCTTGGATGAGAGATCACCAGGGATCTCCATGTGGGGAAATTCGGGCTGAAACCCTGGAGAGCTAGCTGATGACTGTCAGGTAGAATCCTGCTTCCTATGCCCCCAGCTAGCTAGGGGTCCAGGAAACTCACAGGCTCTCAGGCTCCCACGGGCTTCTGCAGCAGAGCCAGGGGTGCTCAAGAAGACCCCTTTGTAGCCCCCCCCCCGCCAAGCAGGTTGTCTTCCTCTTCGGTCGCACGGGGTCCCTGCTGGGAGAAGTAATCCACATTAACATTTGCTCTTTTTTTCTTTCTTTTTTTTGGCATTGCACATGAAACTTTTAAGGCTGAAAGGCTAGATAACATCAGGTTAAGCAAGTGCTGGTATTCTTCGTTTGTGCCAGCCATTGGAGAGGGGCACCGTCCATCATCATGGAGAACGGAACACCTATCAGGTGATAAGGTAAAGCATGCAAAGCCTAGCGGACAGCCCATGCTTTCGGTGGCTGCATGCGGAGATCCCTAAGCATGCAAAGCCTAGCGGACAGCCCATGCATGCGGAGATCCCTTCTCCTTTCGTATGTACAGCGAAAGTCCAGTAATGGTGTCACTCATGGAAAACAGCCATGGCCTGAGGAGGGTAGAGACACGTTCACGTTAGCAAAGGGTATATGGAAGACTCCCTGGAAAAGACCCTGATGTTGGGAAAATGTGAAGGCAAGAGGCGAAGGGGACGACAGAGGACGAGATGGTTGGACAGTGTCATCAAAGCTGCCAACATGAATCTGACCAAACTCCGGGAGGCAGTGGAAGACAGGAGGGCCCGGCGTGCTCTGGTCCATGGGGTCACGAAGAGTCGGACACGACTAAACAACAACAATGTGGAAGACAATAAAATACTTAGGTTCCTTCCTGAAGGAAGATCAAAAGGGACATCCTGAAAGAAAGGAATTTCAAACGAGCATCCTGAAAATTTCAAAGGGACATTTTTGGGATCAAAGGAACATCAATGTAAATTAACTTTTATGACTCTTCTGTGTGTATCTTCTATATATTTACTCTGTATTCTGTGTTGCCTCAGACTTTCCCTGACATGCATTTTCTTATGACGTACGTATCTTTGAAAACATCTCACCTAGCTACCACAAAAAACATTTTCCCGACAAGAAACCTCTTTAGCATTTTTTAAGAAGAAAAGTTTTCCCATGGTACATTGAGGGACAGAATTACTGGATTTTTACTATACCTATGAAATTCATCGGCAATCTTTATATAAATTCCTAAATCCTAACCTACATAGTTATCTTAAAGGTATAATGAGAAGGGATCTCCACATTGCTCCTGGGGTGTCAACGTTCAGCTCAAGTCCGAGATGGGGGTGCTGGTTCCCTTCTTGGCAAAGCACATCCTTCAAAGTGAGGAAGGCCTGCTTTTCCGGTAGGGTGGGGGAGAGCAGTGCACTTGCCTTGGGACCTTTTTCTGGGTGGGGTCCATGACCCACAACTCCACGTACAGATATATGGAAGTTTGGACGAGTAGCGAGAAGAAAACAACAGTCACACGGAGGCCAGAAAACAGAGTTTGAGACCAAAAGCTGGGCAGCAGAGGGAAGGGGATGAGATCCCCCTGAAAGGAGGGATAACCAGAGCCCTCAGGTTTCACACCCCCACGACACACCGCTAAAACGTCACCAACAATACCATAGCTGTTCCACTGTTCTTTCCAGCGAGCGACTAAACATCAGGCCTGGCATGAACAAAACCTGACCAGGTCTGCTCACCTTCCCTTGAAGCATAAAACTGAAATTAATGACCTCACTTAGGTCGTTAGCATTACTTTATGAGCTGTTACACAGGGAACATTAGTCATCCTAACAGACCAGGGGAGCTGCCCTTGGAAAAACAAACACACAGCACATTCCGGATGGCAGGGACCACATGGGGCACAGAGACAGGAAAGAGGGGACAGCCTACAAAGTCTGGGCCCCAGTGGTTCTGAACATCTGTGCTTGGACCGTTGCAAACTGAACCTTGAGAGTCATTGGGGCACAGACTGTGAGCACAGACAAACCCATTGCCAATCCTAAGGGAACTAACGTTTACTAAACTGTAGGATCTAAATTCTCCCTCCTTCTATGTCACCAGTCCTTTGTTTCTCTCTCTCTCCCTCCCCCCACCTCCCAATATTTGCCATATATTGCATTGTCATTTTAGAAAAACGACAATGATTATGATGCACTCCCCAGTCTATTCCATCTTAGGGTGACCTTTTCCAAGGTTTTCTACCTATAGAGTACTCCTAAGGGACTCTCTTGAGGCTGTGCAGCTTGCCCAAGGCTACACAGGCTGGCTGTTCGCTTAGAAGGCACAGTGGAGAATTAAATGTCCAACCTGTGGCTGCCAAGCCAGGTACCCAACTCACTGAGCCAGCCAGCCAGCAAAGGAGATTAAACAGGATTGCATTCCACCACCCCCCATAAACATCAATTCTTCCTCTTCATTCTTCTATCCATAACCATAGGTGTAATCACCTCCAAAGGAAAAGCATGACAGACCTAAGGCAAATGAAAAATGAAAGCAGGTGTCTTTATTAACTAAGACCTAATGAGGACGGTTCTTTCAAAAACCAAGAACGCAGCACATTTGAGATTACTTCATACAAAAGAAGCTATCACTCAAGAGACCTCTTTGTGTATAACACAAAACTCTCTAAAACAATACGACTACCAATTCTGCAGCAAAGTTTTACAGACAGGAAGCCAGTCCCAAGCTTAACATTCCAAGATCTGGCAAAGCTTTTGAGCAAGAGGGCTAAACATCAGGCTTCTGTACATATTGTGATCTTGGTTGGGGTCAGTGGCTTCAAAATATAGCTCCCCTCCATGGACAACCTTCAGATTGACCGTAAAGTTGCTGGGGTCAAAGCCAAACCACATGGTACATCTGTAGTCAGGAGTACGTATGGAGTAGCCCATCACTCTTATATCGTTCAGCGCCGGCAGATCTGAGTTCCACTCTGGGGTATCTCCAGGACGGGGATACTGGCTGAAAGCAACAGGTGGATCAAAATCATTGTCTTCGTTGCGGCCATTCTCTTGCGGTTCACGGAGGGAAGGGAAATAGCGAACCAAGCTTTTTCCCTCGGTGCACAGGACGACTTGAAACGAAGGATGAGGGCAAGGAGAAGGGACGGACAATCCAGCAAGTTCAGCAAGCGTAGCGAAGAGCGATACCAACTCAACCATTTCTTTGGGCTTCTCTGGATTGGGAGAAAAGAAAGAGATCAAATTATGGGTCAAGAACTGCCTAGTGCTTTGGACACTAGAAATTATTTTGCAAAGGCATAGATCCCTATTGTCTAGGGCAGTGGTTCCCAACCGTGGGTAATCCAGGTGTTCTTGGACTGCAAATCCCCAAGACCCCAGAACAGCATAGCTGGTGGTGAAGGCTTCTGGGAACTGCAGTCCAAGAATTCCTGGGTGACCCAGGGTTAGGAACCACCAGTCTAGGGGGCAAGGGTGGGAATTAGGAAGATACCACGCCCATGTAGGTCAAAGGCCATTTTTGTAGCCCTCTCAGAGGGAAAATAATTACCCAGCCTTTTTTACTTCAAAAACACGGGAGAGTCCCACCTCCGGTCATCATTGCCTTCTAAAACAAGGCATAGAAAAACTAGCCTTTTAAAGATGAAAATGGAGTTTCACCTGGAGGCCCCAAAGGTCCTCAGACTGGGAAAATGGTTTCTGGATCTTACCCACCCAACTGTGAAACTGGTAACTTGTATTTCTATGACCACAGAGGAGTTTTTTAAAAAAACCACCAATTGCTGATAAGAAACAGAGTCACAGACAGGTGTACCGCATAGATTCCCATTCTAGCCCCTTTAAGGTGTTCTACTAAATGTTGTAGGGGATGTGGTGGCGCTGCGGGTTAAACTGCAGAAGCCTCTGTGCTGCAAGGTCAGAAGACCAAGGCAGTCGTATGTTCGAATCCACGCAATGGAGTGAGCTCCCGTTGCTTTGTCCCAGCTCCTCGTCAACCTAGCAGTTCGAAAGCATGTAAAAATGCGAGTAGATAAATAGGGACCACCTCGGTGGAAAAGTAACGATAAATAGGGACCACCTCGGTGGAAAAGTAATGACATTCTGTGTCTAGTTGCACCGGCCACATGACTGTCTTCGGACAAAACGCTGGCTCTACGGCTTGGAGACGGGGATGAGCACCGCGCCCTCGAGTTGGACACGACTGGACTAAATGTCAAGGCCGACCTTTCCCTTTCCCTTACTAATTGTTTACATGGGGTGAAGAGTAGTCTCACCGCTTCCATTGTTGGCTGTCGGTCCTTTCTCACACGGAGAGCGACCATCTCTGACTGAGTGCATTCACACATTTTAGAACATGGATATCCCATCAAGGAAATGATGATGGAGTTGGGGGCAAGACTAGCCCCACACCTTCCCTTTGTCATGGATCATGCCGGCTAGGGGATTCTGGGAATTTTCACCCATCTTTCCAACCTCTGCACCAAAGCACCAATTAAACGTTGCGACCCGACTCCTTATGCTAGGATCAATTTCGGGGGGAGGGGGGAAATCACCTTGGAATATTGGACTTGAAACTTGGTCAAAGGGGTCCATAATAGGAAATAGCTTCTCTCCTGGTGAAGGGAGTGGGGTGGTCATTCCTGGGACATAGAACATAAGCGGGACGCGGGTCGCGATGTCGAAGTTGCTGTATTTTGCCCACTCGCCATGCTCGCCCAGCGACCAACCTAGACAAGACCGAAACAGGAAGTAAAGTGTTATTTCTGTCTTGAGCAAGAACAATCCCCAGCCAAGCAGACACCATCGGCTTTGATGGGACCACTTTTAAGTCTCACAAAAATACACACCTGCCCAAGTATTGAGACCTGCCAGGCCCTTTTCTGTGGCCCATCAGTAGAAATAATCCACTGTGTATAAATAGCCTTCTCTGCTAGGGAAATCCAGCTGTGAGATGCCAATCCAACGGAAGGCCCATTTGGGGCTAATGTTTGCCCCATTTCAACACCAAGTCAAAACCAGACTGTTCACCAAATTTGACACCCGTTGGCCATAGCTGGCTTGCGGATTTCTATTTTAATGTGTACAACACGCACACTTTTAAACAGTCCTGAATTGTTGGTGTTTACGTTTTTCTAGTGCTATTTCGGTCGGGTCAGGACCACTCTAGGCAGCTAGTGCTATTTTTTGCTCACATGCTACCCTAATATCCTTGGATACTGGTCTAATATAAATATTTTAATAAATAGAAGAGCCTTATAAGCAGGCACTCCTTTGAATATTGGAGACAAGGAACCTTAGGAGAGTGCCAGTCATAATGTGATCAGTTTTGGAGGTAAACAAAGACTTTATCAGCTCATTTGGAAGTCCCCCTCCAAACATTTATGCCACATTTATGCAGAGAGATTGTCTCTTCTCAACGGTTAGTCTTCCAAAAATAAAACCTACCCATTCATTGCAAAAGAATGATGGTGCTAAGAACGGGCTTCCATTCCCTCAGGTGATCATTCTCGCCATTCAACTTGACTACAGAAAATCTGAGATCTGAGCTATTAGCCACAAGATCTGATTTTTTTTTCTTCCCTTCTTATCATGCTGCTCTGTACTCACATTTCCCGTCTATACATTTTCTGTTCCTTTCTAAACCTTGTGCATCCGCTTTCTGTACTGTTGCTGTAATATCTAGAACCTGTAGTCTGGAAACTTAAAAGGAAAAACCTGGAAACCTTTTAAAAATTTATTGGATACAGAGAAATGTAACTTTATGCTAGGAAAAATACCACCTTTGCTGTAAAATAATGTTGACCCATTGGTGAACGTTCCAGATGGTAAGTAAAGAGAAGTTATATGGCTGGATATACTGTCTCTGGGTTTCAGCAGGCAAACATCCAGAGAGGGGAATTGCTGCTGTTTTGCAATGCAGCTCAAGTTCCAGGCACAATTCAAAGCGCTAGTAATGACTTTAAAGCCCAATATGATGACTTGGGTCCAGGCTATTTGAAGGACTGTATTCTCTCATATCAGCCAACCTGGCTTTCAAGAATTACAGGGATTTACCAGCTGCAGAAATGGCCAATGCCTTTCAGTTGGTGACTTGCATTGGCACCCCACAACTCTTCAAGTCCTGCCTCCTCTGTAAGAACGTTTGCTGAGGGCACAAGACAGGGCATTGTGATGGTTGCTCAGAGACAAGGAAACTCCCTGCCAAGATAGGAAAGGATGGCCACCTCCCTGATGTCCTTCCCCTGACACACAAAAACCTTTAGGCTGGCCTTTAGACTGCTAAAAGTGAGGGCTTTATAAGACGTGCTGCATTTTTATACTCTTAACTGTAATTCACCAACATGTTTGTAGCTGCATTCTATTCCAGTAGAGTAACTGGTTTAATTAACTTTTAATATTTATAATCCCCTCCTCCCTAAGTTTATTTTTTTAGCTATACTCTAAGCCAGTGGTTCTTAACCTTGGGTTACTCAGGTGTTTTTGAACTGCAACTCCCAGAAACCCCAGCCAGCACAGCTGGTGGTGAAGGCTTCTGGGAGTTGCAGTCCAAAAAACACCTGAGTAACCCAAAGGTAAGAACCACTGCTCTAAGCCACTGTGTCCCAGTTCTGGGGAGAATGACAGGATACAAACTAATGTAGTTCAATAAATGAATACAGTCTCAGAAAGCCATAGCCAGCACCCAACTGCCCTCTCTGTAAAATTCCATGCGCTCATAGGAAAGAATGTCATGGCAAAGTAGAAGAACACACATAATCAGCCAAAGGGGCATAAAAGGACTTACCATGATCAGCTGTGAACACTATGATGGTGTTACGGGAGAGTCCTGCGTCATCCAAGCCATTCAAGAGCTTCCCAACCAAGGTATCGATGTAGGAGACAGCTGCGAAATAGCTTTGACGAATCTTTCGCTACAAGAGCATTGAAAAACAATGAGCCCCTTCCCATGGCTAAGCTATCTGGCCAATCAGCTCCTAGAGGGACTCCCTGCATTTTAATACAGAAGGCTTGCCTGTGACTTACTTGTGTGTCTCATTCAATGCAGAACCACAGAGGAGGGGATTTCCTTAGGCCATCCAAAGAAAACCCCCAAAACCACTTAGTTAGGACTTGGGAGAACATCCATCACACTGCTCAGAATGGACCCAATCTTCCAGTTTCAGAAGCTAAGCAGGGTTGGGCTGGGTTAGCCCTGGGATGGGAGACCACAGGGAATATCAAGGGTCTCCAAATAGGGCTACGAAGGAATCCTGCAAGAAACCATGGACAGCCATTGCAGCCAATCACAGTGGACGGTATTAACCCACTTCCGTTTCATCACTGCTGCTGTGGGCTTCAAGGGCAGCGTGAACATAGTGGTGGAAACATGTCGCACCATGTTCAATGAGAGTACAAAACAACAGGACCTTCAGCTTTAGATAAGGTGGAAGGAGGCTTGGCTCATCCATGTTTTGCCCAAAGTCAGAGATACAACTATTTCTGAAAATCAGCTATTTGTATCAGTGTTTTTGTTGTAAAGTTTTGGTTTTGAATCCTTTGGCACTAATGGGGTGGCATATAAATTAAAGTGCTAAATAAATAATGAAATAAATCAATAAATGCAACCTAGGTAAGAGGATAATCCTGCACAGCTTCAAACTGATTATATAGTTTTAAGTCACATAAAGTTATTTAAAGTTACTTTAAACTGTCAGATGAGTTCCCATCACCTTATACCACCTTGTTTTCCGTACTCTGCCTACAGCTCTCTTGATATAAAGCAGAATATAAATATTCAAATAATTTTGTTTTTTAAAAAGTTATCCAAGCCTTTTTACCACTCACTGAATCCCCTATCTGCCTGCTTTCATATCTAGGACCTCTTCCACATCTATGTCTTTCCAGGACATAGATTTCTCAAAAGGACTGCTTTGTCTCAGATTCACATAATCTCCAAATTTTATTCACTATTAAAACCCCTGAGCCTCAAAACCTTCCAATGGCGATGCAATAAACAAACCACTAAACTTCCCCACCTGTTTTCAAGATCTTGCACTCAGCCAAAGCGAAGTGAACGTGAACCACCCACCTGGAAGTCTTCTGGAATTGGTCCATAAGGGAAGCTGATGTTTAGGGCTGCCACGTCCTCCCTGCGGCGAATGTCTGCCCAGGGATTGTAAGCCACAGAAGGGAGTCCTTTAGGAACATAGGGATCTGGGGCCAGCGTGACATTTTCCAAGGGGTACAATTTGAGGAACTCCTGGAACAGAGAAATTGGTTTCAGAAGAAGGATGCCCACAAACTGGAACAAGTTCAGAGGAGGGTAAGAAAGATGATTAGGGGACTGGAAACCAAGCCTTATGAGGAAAGACTGAAAAAACTGGGTATGTTTAGCCTTGAGAAAAAGAAGACTGGCGGGTGAGATAGGCTGGGTATGTTTAGCCTTGAGAAAAAGAAGATGGGGGGGGAGATAGGATAGCACTTTTCAAATGTTTGAAAAGTAGACCTATAGAGGAGGGACAGGACATATTCTCCACCACCCCAGAATACAGGGCATGTAATATAATAGGCTCAAGCTACAGGAAGACAGATTTAGGCTATATATCAGGGGGAAAATTTCTTAACCGTTAGAGCAGTACGACAATGGGATCCATGACCTTGGGAGGAGTTGGTGAGCACTCCAACGCTGGAGGCATTCAAGAGAAAATTGGGCAACCGTCTGTCAGATCTGCTTTGATTTGGATTCCTGCCTTGAGCAGGTAGTTGGACTCAATGGCCTTGTAGGCCCTCTTCAACGCAAATATTCTATGATTCTATGAATTTCCATGACTGGTTTCTTCAGAGTCTGAACCATCTGCAGAGAACAAGGTTTTCTGATTCCTATCTGCACTGCTTCCTAGAATTCTGCTGTATGTTACATTCAATATGTGATGACAGCCAGATTCTGCCTACGGGTAATTCTGAAGAATTCCCCCATCATTGGACAGGTTAACAAAGACAAAGAGGGACACAGTCTGGACATGTTCCATTTGGGGAGAAACTCCCATATTCCCTCAGGCAGCATGCCAAAAAAAAATCAAGCTGACTGGGAAATTCCAGGTGCAGGAAAAAATGTATCAAAAACGTTTCCAAGATCGGCGAAGACCCCATAGTTATTCTTCCATTCCATTCTTTGTCTTTCCCTAGCTCTCTCTTTGTAACTGATCGTTTTCCCCAGAAGGAGAGAACAGGGGAAGATGGGAAATGAGACACCAAGGGAGGAAAAACTTGCAACCTGTTGAGAAAGAGCCTCAGCAGCTTCTCCTCCGTTGTACAAGCACGATTTGTTTCCTTGACCAGGTGAGATGCAACCAGCAAGCTCTCACCTAGACAATTTTTGCAACCGCATAAAGATGTATCTGCACTTTGGAGTTATCCCAATTTATAACAATTACGACTCTGTCCTAAGGAAACCTAGTATTTGTGACTTGGGGAGATGCTTCCCATTTTTCACTGAAGAGCTGTGCAACCTCTCTTCTGAATGAAAGGACAAAATTCCAACCTTTCCTGCCAAATGACAAAACCCAGGATCCCATGGGCTGGAGCCACCGCAACTAAACTGGTATACAAGAACTAATATGACTCTGCAGGGCTGGTGCCCTTTAAGGATTGGGTCCAACGCCCTGCCAAAATGCAGTCAAGCTTTTCAAAGTAAGGGACTTTTGTGAGTAGCATTCCGATTCAAGCCATATGATCAAACCTGATGGTACTTAGGGAATCTTTGTTGTGGTTTGATAAAGAGGCGATTTTTTAAATACTTGACTGATAATGAATGGGGGATAGTAATCTTTACATCTAGAGAGAGAGAGAGAGAGAGAGAGAGAGAGGCAGAAAACACACACACACACACACACACATGGGAAACCCATGCACAAGTCAATTAATGATATGAATCACAATCACTCAAGTCTCCACAAAGAAACCTGTAGGGACCACTATATTAACAGGGAATTTGGTGTGATCCTGGCCCCCTACATGCATGGCACCAAAAGCCTCAGAGGGTTGTATGCAATTAAAGGATTTCCTCTCACTCACTCACTCACACACACACACACACACACACACAAACACACATGGGGAACCCATGTACAAGTCGGTTAATGATATGAATCACAATCACTCAAGGGAATTTGGTGTGATCCTGGCCCCCTACATGCATGGCACCAAAAGCCTCAGAGGGTTGTAGGCAGTTAAAGGCTTTCCAATTGCCATCTATGATTCCATGGGGACTATCAACCGAATCCATTTTTCCACATCCTGCTGTATTTTTTGGCCCCAAACCCGCACTGTATTTCAGAAACATAAATATTTCAGACAAGCTCCTTTGCTCCAGAATCTTCCTCACCTTCGGATACCTGAAGGGGATGTGTGGTTTGTGATACCCGACAGCAAGGAAAAACGGGCTCCGGCTTTCTTTCATGATATTCAGCAAACGGACGGCTTCCTCAGTGCTCTGGATATCTGGCAAAGTCCCCTCGGGCATCTCAGCCACGTCCACGGGGCAAATAAGATTCGCGTGAAGCTCCCCATCCTTCCCTTTGCACACCTTTAAAGGACGCAAGCAAGATAAGCACCCTTGAGCCTAAAACATCCACAGGAAGGCCGTTCAAGTGAGACCTTCCTTGGCACATCATCATTTATCATCTCTCCAGATCTCTCCTCACCGATGATTTGCCTTGTCCTCGGAACGAGGGCCCAAGGCGTGTATTAGGTGCTGTCAAGTCAAAGCTGACTTTATAGAAACACTACTAAGGATTTCAAGGCAAATGAAATATTTAAGAAGCAGTTTTGCTGGTGCCTTTCCCTAGGTGAGTTCCAATGGCCAAGCAAGGATTCGAATCCAGAGCTTCTGAGTCACAGTCCACCATTCTATCCACTTGCACCTCTTTGGGCACTTGGACTCAAGCTAGCTCACAACAAATTAAGAAGCATCATATCACCCTGAACACCCATGATTCCATCTGATTTTGGAAGTTAAGCAAGGTCAGACTTGGTTAGTACTTGAATGGGGGGGGGGGCAGGAGAGACCGCTGGGTTCTCCATAGAGGGCACGAGAGAATCCTGCTTGAATCCTTGTGCACTAATTGCGGCTGGTGAACGTTGATAACACAAGACCAGCTGGACCGAGGGTCTGCCTTAGTCCAAGCCACCTCCTAGATTCCTGAGATTAAACATCAAATACAGATGGATGCTCTAGTCCATGGGGTCACAAAGAGTCAGACACGGCTTAACAACTAAACAACAACAAATGGATTTAAGAAGGGGGGGAAAAGTGTTGATTAAAACATACAGAAGATGATCGTGTTACAACAGAATTAGCTGTAATCTACAGTCATATGAAAATATAGAAACACACACACACATACTATATAAAATAGATAGAAATGTATGATTTTTTTAAAGCCCCAATTAGTCTCTTAAAATATCTTTTCTCAGTACCCCATGAAGTGATTAAAAACTAATATTCTAAATGAGCTCTGCACCTTTGTGTTTTCATATTTTTCAGAAGATGGGTGAAAAGCTGGGAAGGTCCAGCTATGTGGATAGTCATCAGTGTGGTTTGATGAAATCCCTGGAAAAAAATGTAAAAAATGTTTAGGATCACATGGGACAGTGAAGGAATCCTAGGGGAAGACATTTCTAAAAAACTCCCCCAAAATGTCCGATTTTACACATTTCCTGAAGGGCAAAAGGGAGGGAAGCCTGGTATTTATCCATACTCTCTCTCTCTCTCTCTCTCTCACACACACACACACACACACTCAAATTTAGAAAGCCAGCCTGGGTCCCAGTTGTGGGAGAAAGGGAGCGTATTTTTAAAAATACCCTACATAAACTGGAGAAGTGGGGAGAACAGTCCCTAAGAAGTCTCACAGATTGAGATTCAGTTCCGAGCTTACCTGGATGAAAGACTTTCCCTACGGACATCGTGATGTAGCCATTGTCTTTAAAATACTGCGGCAAAGTAGAATAATTCCCTGCATGCACTCGCCAGTAGGAATCAAAATCGTACAGCCTCGTAGTGTCTGGCCGGCGCCCGGTGAGGAAGGACACTCTGCTTGGAGCACAGACGGCTTGCTGGAAGAGAGGAGATAAAAAGAGAGATCAACGGCTTTACGTTCTAAAGGTTCCAGGTTTGACCCCTGATGAGCAAATATAGCCCTCCAGGGGCTAAATCCAATTTCATCCTAATCAGAGTATGTCCACTTACACAATGGAACTATTCTGGTGGGAACCAGCATGTGGAAAGGTATTTTTTCTAAATTAACTTTCAGTGTTGCTTAGAGATGGGCACAAACCGCCACTTTGGAAGGTTCGTGCCGGTTCGTTTAGCAGCCGAGCAGGGGTTTGGTGCTTCAAAGCACTGGGTGGGCAGCCACTCAGTGGCCTGGCTTCTCTGCCTCGCCTCCTCTGAGCGCTGCCTCCGAATGGGCTCTGCTGGAGGAGGCAGGGCTTTGAAGTGCCCCACATCTGTTTTGCCGCTAAACAAACTAGCACAAACCAGTGGTTCGTGCCCATCCCTATAAGACAGCTATAAGATGAGTTTCAGCTTTGGTACCACAACCGAATTTAACCTGTCGCTTGCCTGTAGCTGATGAGACACCTCTTGGGCATCACACAGGTGAGATATGGAAGCCTCAGCCCTTCACCTACTGGGATCTAGTGCCTACCATTTTGCAGGTACTGTGGATCCATTCCAGGTTTTAGTGCATACTTTATAAGAGTCATTCAAGGTGTTTACACTAATTTCAAGAATAGGATTCAGTGCAGACTAAAACCCAGAATGGATTTGCAGCACCTCTGGAATCTCCAGTCTCCATTAGCTTCATAATCTTGACCGCACGTTCAGCAACTGGAACGCAATGGCACATCTGCCTTCAAACACAGCGTGTTTCCCTATAGCTAAAATTGGCTACTTCCCTAGCCTCTATTTAATTCGTCTAAGCACTTTTTAAATGATCAAAGCTTGCCATATATGTCATGGAACTTGCCATGAGTCTCACTGAATGGGTCTCATGGAATGACCTTGAGCCGGTTATGCTCATTTCGTTGGATCAACATCATGAAGATATCGCGAAGCTAAAGGAGGAGAATAAGAGTCATGTGTGCTAATTTCAGCTCACCGAAGGAAAGGCAAAACAGGGGAGCAACCAATAAATAAATAAAATAAGCAAATGGAGAGCCGATAACTGAGAGTGGTCTCCGAGGCTGTTTTATTTCTTTATAAAATACTGTCCATTTGCACAAAGACGAAAGAGCAAAGAACTTTTTTCCCCATCAGCCATAATTATTGATAATAAATTTTAAAATTCTGTATATGAACAGTTCCACATCAATATGCACAGAACAGCTTCTATCAATCGAAGAAACAGAAAAATAACACAACAACGATTTGCAGAAAATGAAGAAGAGCAAATAAATGCTAAAGACAATCATTATAGGTAACAATTAAAAGCCAAGGGAAAATAATAATAATAATAAAAAAAACCGGAGGTGTTTCTTCACTTAACTTAGCTGTGAGCTGTGCAGAAGAAATCAGGACCCACCATCCTTAGAAGTCAGCTCTAAGAGTTTATACAAACAATTAAAAGCCAAGGGAAAATAATAATTAAAAAAAATAAACCGGAGGTGTTTCTTCACTTGACTTAGCTGCAAGCTGTGCAGAAGAAATCAGGATCACCATCCTTAGAAGTCAGCTCTAAGGGTTTATACATTTGTTGTTTATTTATTTAAAATATTTATATTATCATAATCATCTTAGAACTTCAAAGCTGGAAAGGACCCTAGGGATTATCAAGTCCAGCCACTGGCAAGGAGGCCCAGCGGGGAATCGAACCACCAACTTCTGGCTCTGCAGCCAGTGACCTAAACCGCTGAGCTACCCATCCTACCTTTCTCCTCAGTCAATAATGCTAATAACAAAATTTATAAAAACTGGAAACGGGGGGGGGATCTAACAATCAACAAAACAAAACAACTTCATTTCCTTTTGTGTTATTTTTTTTAGACTGTAACCCTGAGGACAGAGACTCTCTTTTTAAATGTTACTGACATGTAAGGTGCGCTGAGATCATTTCTAGCTATATAGAAGAAGATCCATGGTACAAACAAATCAATAACTACATCGATACATAATAAAAATTGACAGCTTGACTCATGCTTGAAAACAAACCAATCATTGCTAATTACATATCGGGCAAAACCCAAAGTAAAAGAAAAAATATAAGAGAGATGAAAATGTTGCAGCACCTTAACGGTTAGATGCTAATGTGAGCTTTCATGGATCAGATCCCTCACATTAAAATAAAGGAGTTTTTCTTTAAGGTGTCAAAATTGTTTTCGTCGTTTTTTAATTTTTCTTTTGGTTTTCTTGCCTGACACGCTAGCGCCAAGTGCTTTCTTGTTCACAATAAAAACTCAAAAGCATTTTGGAGTCCCGAACGCGGGGGGGGGGGAACGTTGCTTACCTGTGCGAATGCATTTTGGAACACAACGCTTCGGGAGGCCAGCTGATCAATGTTGGGCGATCTCACGAGGGGGACTCCGTACGCGCCGAGGGCCGGACGCAGGTCATCGGCCACGATGAAGAGAACGTTCATGCCATCTCGAAAACCAAGGAAGGTAAAAAAAAAAAAAGGTCATTCGTTTTGAGCACAGTGAGTCAAGGCTAATTGGGGAGCAATGAATGCAGTGGAACTGTTCTGTTGCTAATTTTAACTTTTTAACCCTATTATAAAAAAAAGCAGCAAGTCAACCCCCCACAAAGAATAATACTGTTTTAAAGGATTAACTAGCCACAGAACAGACTTAAGAGAAACTACTTAAGACATGGATGTAGTGTCACAAAAAGAAACTGAATGACATTGTTCAAACCAGATGCAGGAATATAGGAATAAAGAAAGAACTTCAGCCTCACGGGAAACCTCCAGGGCTGACTCAAGACATGTTGCAGCCGCAGCAAATGCCTGCCTCCAGCATGATGTGCAGCGCCAAAAACCAGTCCGGATATTTAAACAAGTTGTTGTTGCTTAGTCATGTCCAACTCTTCGTGACCCCATGGACCAGAGCACGCCAGGCCCTCCTGTCTTCCACTGCATCCTGGAGTTGGGTCACATTCATGTTGGTCGCTTCGCTGACCCTGTCCAACCATCTCGTCCTCTGTCGTCCCCTTCTCCTCTTGCCTTCACCCTTTCCCAACATCAGGGTCTTTTCCAGGGATTTAAACAAGGGCGGCAGTTAAATCACAGATGCTGCTCCCTGCGTTTGGCCAGGAGAAGGAGAAGCTGCCATTGACCCCGTTGCCCTGAGATGCTCGGATCCAGATTCTAGTCGCCCTCAGGCTCAGCCACTGACTCTGGCCCTGGGGCTAAGCTAAAACCCTATGGCAGGATCTCTCCCACAAGGAGGGAATAAGGCAGGGGCTGTTTTCTGCCCTTTTCTGGCCGCCTGTCACGCCCAGCCATGCCACCTGGGTGCATCCAGGCACCCAAAAGCCAGCAGGGCGGTGCGCACCCGTTCATCCCTTTCGGGTTCCTGCAGCCAGGAGGCGTCCGGCCACCTCTTCCCAGCCTGACCTACATTGCAGGGTTGTTGGCGCAGGAGAGGGCAGAGAGCGGGGGGAGTTCGATCGTCGATGTGGCACAGAAACAGGAAGGAAGGAAGGACCATATATTTCAGATTTAACTAACTGTTGCTTCCCCGGAGCGCCCGAAACGCCGCTGGTTGGGCACCTCCTTGCGCCCCGAACTCCCCGCGCATCCCGCGGCGCCCTTTCCTCTTGAGCCTCAAACCCACCCACCCCACCACACTTCCGGCTCCCCTTCTACCCCGCTCCAGAAATACCTGGCGGCGGACGGGGGCGGGGGGCTCCTCCAGCCCCACCGGCGCCCAGCAAGAACCCGGCGGCGCACAGGAGGGCGGGCAGCCCGGAGGGGCCAGCGGATCTCGCCCACCGCCCCGGCCCCATCGCTGCGCCCCTCTCCTCTCGCCCCCGAAGGAGGAGAAGCGACGAGGTGCCACTTCGGCTCCGGAGAAAGAGGAGGAGGAAGAGGAGGAAGCCCGGCCGGGGAGGCGCTCCGGGGCTCGCTCCACCCTCCGGGAGGCTAAGCCGGGCGGGGATCACGGCGGGGGGGAGGGCGAAGAGCACGGCCGGCTTGGGGCCGTATAGAATCGGCGGGTTCTAGGAC